AGTGGACCATGTTCTGACCTCCACCTGTAGACAGCTCACACACGATCCAAATAAACATTCAAATAAATAAATAATAAATAAAGAGTTTGAACTCCTGCCGTTTCTCCTCTCTGTGGGTTAGACTTAAACTGCTCTGAGAAGGGAGACAAAGATGCTCGACTTTTTGACATGGTTATTTTTTTTTAAATTGTCTTTCTTATATATTTTTTTTATTTCTGTATGTTTTTATTTCATTTTCTTTGTTTTCTTAATTTTCTTAATTTTTAAAATTTTCTTTGTTTTTATTTTCTTTGTTTTTTTTTCTTTATTATTTTTTCTTTATTTTTTTATTTTCTTTTATTTTTCTTTGTTTTTTATTTTTATTTTTTAATTTTCTTCATTTTTTTCTTTTCTTTTTTTCTTTTCTTTTTGTAAAAGATTTATTTTCTTTTTTCTCCCAAAGAAAAACAGTCAAAATGTCAAATTTCTGACCAAAGAGTAGCCGTATATTTTTAATTAAATGATGTTAAGAGAGAAACGAAAGCAGAGAAGGAGCATCAGTTTATCTACATTATTTATTGTTCTGATTTTATTCATAGAAACTGATTATTGAGTGAATTTCTCCTCAAATCTCCCTCCATTTAGATTTATCTAGTTAAAGATGAAGTGATGAAAAAAGCAGAGAGCGTGGACGCTGTGAGATAAAAAAAACAGTTTGATTATTAAAAAAATAATCATTTCATTTAGTGAAAAAACAACAGATGAAGTTAAAATAAATCTGTAAAATCTCGACTCTCTCAATCTGGTGTTCAGATTCAGATTAGACCCAGCGTTCCGGTGTTCTGGGATCTGGACTTGTCCATGTGAGGGTGGGGGGGTGAGGTTAGCTCAGTCTGCTCTGAGGGTCGGGGGGTCACCTGTTTCCTCTTGTTCTGAGTCCAGACCTCCTCTTCTTCTCCTGTCTGTGTCTGCAGCTGAAAACAAACCCATCTGGATGCACGCTGAGGAGAGAGAGGAGATGAGCAAGGTAAGAAGAGGTCTCTGCAGAATAAAGTCACATCCTGCTCAAAAGCAAATATTGAAATCAGCAGTTTGAGGAGTTTGAAGAACCGTGTTTGTTGTCCTCCCCCCTGATGAACCCCCCAGGACACACATACTGCTTTATGTAAACAGAGGGAAAATGCTGCTGATCCAGTTCTCACCTCACTCCCCTTCACCTGTTTTTCTTCCTCCTCCTGATTATTTACTTCCAGGGCAAGCACAGAGACAACACCCCGTACGGAGAGTACGGCGGCTGGTACAAGGCCTGCAAAGTCAACAGGTGAGCAGAGGCCGATCAGGGCGCTTTAGAAAGACACTCAGAGCGGAGAGGTGAAGGACTGGAGTTTGAAATCTGTCCTCTAACGGGTTCTTCTGTCCTCTGCTAACTCCAGCCCCACAGTGAACACCACCCTGAGAAACCTGGGAGCTCTGTACCGCCGACAGGGTAAACTGGAGGCTGCTGAGACCCTGGAGGAGTGCGCCGTCAGGTCCCGTAAGCAGGTCAGCAGCTTCTCCTGGACCAAAGATACCCCCTCTGTGCATGCAGATCCTGTTTTTGGACTTTGTCAAGTAGGACAGTGAATCTCATGATATTTCTTTCCCTCTCTCTGCATTTCTTTGGACCCAGAGCAACACAGTAAGTGGTTTGTGTCTAACTGATAGCCCCTCCCATAGAGCCTCCACCTCCCTCCTCCATAACATCACCACCATCACCTCACAGTCACCTGAAGTTTGTCTCTCATTGGATATTTAAAGAGACAGAACACATGTCCTCTCATTCCTCCAGATAACTCTGCACCCCCACTCACACCTGCAGCATTACCCCCCCACACACACTCCGCTCTGTGTCTGACCGCTCTCCTCTGTGTGTGTGCGTGTGCGTGTTCCTCCACCAGGGGATCGACCCCATCCACGGGACACGTGTGGTGGAGATCCTGAAGGACACGGAGGGGGACAGGCGGAGGAGCAGGGACAGCCTGACCAGCGTAAAGTATGAGAGCGGCTCTGAGACCGGCGAGGAAGTGAGTATGGGCGTGGAGTGGAACGGGGTGAGTACAAATCCACGACGGTGGAGTTTCAAACAGACAGAAACCTCAGGAGAAGAACAAGGTGGTTTTAATAAACACTGCAGAAGGTGGACCGGGACAGAAGGTCTCAGAGATTAAAGGCTGGACCAGAACCAGGAGCTGAGAGAGCCAGATCAGACTCCTCAAAGTGGGTCTCAGGAAGTCAGGGCATCACTTCACGCCGAGGTCAGGCCTGAAACTTTAGATGTACCAGTACCTGTAGATGTGGATGTACCTGTACCAGTAGATGTAGATGTAGATGTAGATGTAGATGTAGATGTACCTGTACCTGTAGATGTAGATATAGATGTAGATGTACCTGTAGATGTAGATGTAGATGTACCTATAGATGGAGACGTACCTGTAAATGTAGATGTACTTGTACCTGTAGATGTTCCTGCACCAGTACCTATAGATGTAGATGTACCTGTACCTGTAGATGTAGATGTAGATGTACCTGTAGATGTAGATGTACCTGTAGATGTAGATATAGATGTAGATGTACATGTAGATGTAGATGTAGACGTACCTGTACCAGTAGATGTAGATGTACTGTAGTTGTAGATGTAGATGTAGATGTACTGCTAGATGTAGATGAACCTATAGATGTAGATGTACCTGTAACTTTACCCATACCTGTACCTTGTAGATGTACCTGTTCCTGTAGATGTAGATGTAGATGTACTGGTAGATGTAGATGTACCTGTAACTTTACCCATACCTGTACCTTGTAGTTGTACCTGTGGCTGTGGCTGTGGCTGTAGATGTAGATTAGCTGTACCTGTACTTGTACCTGTAGCTGTAGCTTGTACCTGTACTTGTACCTGTAGCTTGTACCTGTACTTGTACCTGTAGCTGTAGCTTGTACCTTGTACCTGTACTTGTACCTGTACTTGTACTCGTACCTGTAGATGTACCTGTAACTTTACCCATACCTGTACCTTGTAGTTGTACCTGTGGCTGTGGCTGTAGATGTAGATAAGCTGTACCTGTACTTGTACCTGTAGCTGTAGCTTGTACCTTGTACCTGTAGCTTGTACCTTGTACCTGTAGCTTGTACCTTGTACCTGTACTTGTACTTGTACCTGTACCTGTACTTGTACCTGTAGCTGTACCCGTCCACCAGCTGACTGCAGAAGCTCCTTGTTCTCCTCCTGAGGTCCACCTGTAAATATTCCTCACGTGTTTTTCCAAAGTGTAAAGCTGATTGATCGTCTGGCACACTGACATGTTGTTGTTGTTGTTGTTGTGGTGACACCAGCTGGGCCTCCTCTGGCGCTCCGTGTTCATGTTGTTGTTGTTGTTCATTGGCTGATGATGATGAATCCCCGCCCTCTTGTTTTTTGGATGTTTTGCTGGCGAAGCTTCTGCACTCATGCAGCCGAACACAAAGGCTCAGGCTCACTCGGAGACACTCGTGTTAAATACTGATCAGGTTCTGTGTGACTCTGTCAGGGTGTGTCGTCATGTTTTCAGCATCAAACTCCTCCCACATATTCCCCAGTTTCCCTCAGACTGGTCCTGCTGTGCAGTAAACTGGGCGACTGATAGGTGGAGGTTCGTTTTCACGCCCACTCTAACCGCTCACAGAGGTCTGCTGAAAACATGGCGCATTAATGTGACAGTGTCCTCTCATTTAGACGCCTGCAGAGATGTCTGAGCCTGAGTCTTTCACCCACCAAACATGCATGTAACAAAGCCGGCCTTAACGTGCACACTAATGCAGCATGTGTGCGCACTGCAGGGATGTAACGCCACCTCAGGAGACGGGTCAAAGTGGGTATATATGTGAGGGGTTAGTCCAACCTCAGGACAGCTCTCCACCCGAGTTTCCTGATCACTCCTCCACCCTGTCCTCTCTGATCGAGGAGTGAAAATCAGTCAATCTGAGGAACCATCAAATCCTGATTATTGATCAGAGACTGAACTAAACAGTTTTACTGATCAGGTCACTTCAGGAAATGAAATCATTAATTATCCTCGTCTGTATCCTGAGCCCCACCAGAACCTGAGCGTGAGGTTACATCCCTGACCGACGTGTCCACATGTAGAGAAGAGTCTGCTGCTCTCTCAGTAACATGAAGTTCTCATGTTGGTGTGACTGTGAATGTTCGTACACACACACGTGTTCATTACGACTGCCTCGGTGAATGTGCGTACACACACACACACACACACACACACACACACACACACACACACACACCGCTTTGGTGAGCGCTCAGCATGTCTGTTCACCTCAGTGTTAAAACTCGTCTGTGGATCCTGACGGCATGTGGATGACTGTTTGTGTGTGTGTGTGTGCGTGTGTGTGTGTGTGTGTGTGTGTGTGTGAGTGTGAGTGTGAGTGTGAGGGAGCGTCTCATTATCCAGGACCATTCACAACACACACACACTTAACCTTCATGCTGTCACGACTGATCTACAGGAAACTGAGTTCACTCAAAACTCTGATACAGAATATATCTGTTTATACATTCATCCATTCATCCATTCATCCATCCATCCATTCATCCATCCATTCATCCATCCATCCATCCATTCATCCATCCATCCATTCTTCCATCCACCCATTCATTGATTCATTTATCCATTCATCCATTTATCCATCCATCCATGGATCCATCCATCCATCCCTTCATCCCTTCATTCTCAGTAATCATGTGTTGTTCTACAGTCAGGTTGGTCTTCTTCTGATCCTCTAGAGTTCTTCTGGTTCTTCTCAGGAGGTTTCTGAAGACCACACACTCTTTAATCGGAGTGTTAGAGACCCCTGTAGCTGTAACCGTTTCCAGTGTGTGTGTGTGTGTGTGTGTGCACGTGTGTGTGCGTGTGTGCGCGTGTTTCCCGCTCTCTGCTCGGCTGGATGTCTGGATTTGCCGCCTGTTTTTCGTTTGCATGTCTTACTGACTCCATCTCCTGCATCTGCTTCTCTGTTTGTCACTAACCTGTCTTGTTGTTGTTGTTGTTGATTACTGTTGCCATGACAACCAATCAGCCTGTCAATCAGATTTCCCTCTCTCACTCAGTGGATTGTACTCTCTCTCTCTTTCTCTCTCTCTCTCTGTTTTTCTCAGTCTGAACAGTCAGCTGGGGGGGGGTGTTAGTCGGGTTAAAGTTTAATAATTATTGATCCTTAAATGTGGACTGAGTTTAGGTGGATCAATAACATAAAACAAGTTAGGATCAGATTTTCAGTTATGAGTTTTTTAAAAGATAACAGCTGTTTTTAATTTTTAAGGAAGCCTGAGACACGTCATAAAAAAGTGCTGTTAGAAAATAAAGTCAGCGAAATCATAGAGAGGAGTCTGAAATTAAAGAATAAATCAAAACTGTTACAAGAAAATGTCAAGACGGAATAAGGGAGGCTCTCGGATATTATTTAATAATAATACTAATGATGATGGTCATAAAAATTACAATAATGATAATAATAGTGAAAATAATAATAACAGTAATGATAGTAGTAGTGGTAGTAGTAGTAATAATAATAATAATAATAATAACAATTATGATAATAGTAATTATAGTAATAATAATAATAATAGTAAACATACAAATTAAAATAATAATAATAATAATAATAATAATAATAGTAAACATACAAATTAAAATAATAATAATGATAATAATGAAAGTAATGGATACTGTCACAGAGTCTAAATAGACGCTGTAATAAAGTAAAGAGAAGGTCAGACAGAGAGGAGGGTCTGAATGTTGATGTGAAATGAGAGGAGGTCTGCAGGAGCTTCTCTCTGTTCATCAGTTTCTCTGCTGAGGCCTGCAGCTGTCTCTGGTCTGCACTGCTGCGTCATTGGTCGGCTGCAGGGCGCCAACTTCCTGTTACTAAAAGAGGAAAATAAAAGAGCTGAGTCACTGTGACTGCAAACACAAACCAGCACTGCACCACCACCACCACAGACCCGCAGCAGGTTTCTGAGACCAGAGGAAACACTGCTGCAGGTTCAGGGGAGACCTGAAGACCCATGATGAAGATTCTTCACTCCAAACTGAGACAGACCGGTAACGGGTTCAACATGAAAAAGACTTCATCAAACACAGATGGGTGTGAAAGAGTGGGATAGAAAAAAACTACATGATGGTGTAGAAATTAAGAAGGATGAAAATAACCAGACTTAAAATAAAAACATAAACAGTTCACACTAAAATAATATTAAAATCAGGATTTAAAGAAAAAACTAAATTAAAGTCAGGAGAAAAAAATCTTTTTATTTTCAAAACTGAGACAGACAATCAAAGCGCAGAGAGCCTGAAAAACCCTGAGCTAAAAGTTAACAGACAGAAATCCATCAGAGTCGTTTAGAAAAACTGAAAATTCACTCTTTAAGTTAAACGGACAAAAACTAAAACAGGAAAATACAAACTAAAGGTTATGAGAGGGTGAGTCCGCCTGTGAGCATATCCCTGAGTTTAAATCATAGACTGTTAATATGATGGACAACTCGGCTCCGCCTCCCGCCGTCATTATATGAATTTGAAGCTGAATCGCTCTTTGTATTTCTGCGATTTTCTCCACTTCCACTGCGTTGTACACACTCAGCGGGAGAGTCGCTGTGATGACGCTCGGCTCAAACAGCGTATCCCCCGGTGATCTACTCACTCTCTGTCCTCCCATAGGCTGTATCAGCTGTCAATCATAGAAAACATGAACCCCCTAATAACTTTTAAAAATGGAGCTGTACAGAAAAAAGAGGACTTGAGCACAAACCAGTCTGACAGTAACTACATGTCAACATCACAACCAGGGGGGAGAAACATTTATATTCTGTGTCATTCATTTATAAAGTTTGTCCACAGCTCCATAAGGAGGCGGGGTTTAGGACCTATATTGCAGCCCGTCACCAGAGGGCGCTGTTCCTGCGATCGTCCATTTTATATACAGTCTGTGGTTTAAACAGAGATTAGACTGTGGAGCGGATTTATTTAGTGAACCTCGTTAACCAGGTTAGATTAAAAAACAGAAGGATGTTAAACCAACGAATATTTTATATAAAAATGATTAAATCTAAAATCTAAAATAAGCAGACTCTGAGTCGAGTGTCAGAGGTTGTTAGACGTCTGTGTGTTCAGGTAACAGCAGATCAGGAGGGAGGAGGAAGAGGGCGGAGCTTAGGTCAATCAGGCGTTAACGAGGCAGAAGGATCTAGGTTTCCAATCTGACAATGTTGTCGTTGTTTTGTCTCTCTCTCTCTCTCTCTTACTCTCCCTTTTTCTCTCTCTTTACCCCCCCTCTTTTCCTCTCTCTCTCTCTCTCTCTCTCTCTCTCTCCTCCATCAGGCCTAAGCCATCCAGATTATTCCTCCATCCTTCTCTCGTGTTGTCGTTCGTTCCCTCTGGCCTTCTCTGTCCCAACAAACCATCAGCTCCTCCTCCTCCTCGGTCGACCCCCGGTGGCCTCAACCCTTCCTCCTCCTCCTCCTGGGGCAGAGACTCAGATAGCGCCCCCTGCTGGCTGCCCTCTCTGTCCAGCTGCTGGGACGTTTGGTCTTCTCTCTTTGCTCTCACTAACCCTGTAGATCAGCCCCTCTCTCTCTCTCTCTCTCTCTCTCTCTCTCCCTCACATTCTTCCTCTCTGCGTCACCCAGGTGTGAAGTTTTCGGAGGCGTCGACTGATTTAGATTAAATTCTGACCTTCAGTTTGAAGTAGGGCTGGGCGATAGAACCATCATCTTCATCATCTTCATCACTGTAATCTCTAAATTCACATTAATGTTCAGGGACGTGTCTGCGGTCGGAGTAAAGCGTGTTTCTGATCAGACGTTGTCGTGGAGACGGTGAGCACCGATGAGAAACCTCAGAGGAGCAGATGAGGTCAGAGGTCAGGTGAAGACCAGCAGCTGAGGTCCCGTAAAGACGATGAAATGAAGAGTTTGGGGTCAGAACTTCCAGGTTAATCTCCGGTTTCTGGACCTTTTATAGAACTCTGACCGGTACCTCTGGATTTGGAGTTTCTCAGACCTCCGAGTTTGATCTCAGAATTTTCAAAGTTTCTTAAATTCCAAGATTAAAGTTATAAAAGTAGGAAAACAAAGTCGGACTTGAACTCGGACAGTAGGAGGTGGGCGTGTCTTCTGGGGTGACCCATCCGTCGCTCCGCCCTCTGCTGCTGTAGGAGAGCTTCTTCTCCGTCTCGTCCTGATCTTTGCTCTCTAAAGCTCCTCTGGGATTGAACCGTCAGGGTTTCATGTGTTCACGTTCATGCACACACTCCCAGTGCGGTACTGCGTAGACTCCCATGATGGTCAGATTATCATCGTTTCTTTTGTTCCTCCCGCCTCGGCCTCGTGTGGAAATGAGAAGGGATTTCTTTGTTTTTATATTAAATATCTTTGATTTTCTATCGTTGTGTTTACATTTTTTAATGATGATGATATTTTGTGGCTGAGTATTAAGGCAGTAGTTTGTAACAACGTGTCGCCTGATGTTACAGACCTGAGCCGAAGCTGACAGCTCATTGGTCGGATCACAGCGAGCTCTTGTTGCCATGGTAGTTTCTTGGGTTCGCTCTCTCTGGCTTCAGCGTCCTTGGATTGATGGAGCGCAGTCGTCGCACAGAGGCGCGCGTGTCGTTGTCGTTATCAGCCTTTATTTGTGGAGTAGGAGTGAAGCTGGTGTTGTGAGTGAGCTGCAGCCTGGTCTCTGTAGTTCTGTGTGTTTGTGTGTGTGTGTGTGTGTGTGTGTGTAGTTGTGCTGCTCCCCTCTCTGGATGCTGTATTTGAACACTCGTCTCGGTGGAGTGTTCAGCCTTTCTCTCCTCCTGGTTCACAGTCTTTCCTCCACATCCACCTGTTCTCTCCCATCTTGAACCTGCTGAATGTAAACGACTAAACAGGAAGTGTAACACCGTGTCGGCTGTAGATTCATAGATCTCCTAAGTGCGCTCACTCTGCAGCTTCTGGCTTTGCTACCTGCCTTTCTTCTTCTTCTTCTTCTTCTTCTTCTTCTTCTTCTTCATTCCTCCTCTCCTTCCCTCTAATGAACCCGAACAAAGACCATGTACAACATCACATGACTATGACAGTATTGTTGTGTTAGTGGAATGCTTATTTATTGAACATATATAGTGTGACTCAGTTTCCTAAAGTGGACTACATTAATGGTAAGGTCTATCAGCACTATCTTAGTACGTAGGACTGCATTATATTCCCCATCCTGCATTGTGAAGATTATTGCATCAACACTTGTTGAAATAAAGTTTTTCATTTGTGAACTTTGGTCTCTTTTCTGCCGCACAAACAGACGTCTGTGTTCATGTGTCATCTGTGCGTTCAGACATGCAGAGCCTGTCCCACAGCGCCTCCTGCTGGTTATTAACCTGCACTGAGTTTTTCACTAAAATAACCTGGTTGTATGTAAAGAAAGTCCACATGAGACGTTTTCACCTTTGTTAATTAGAGCTGTAAGATTTCAGATGTGTGTCTCACTGAAATAATCTCAGATATTCAGACTGTGGTACCGCTGAAGGAGCCCAGAGTCAGTGATGGTTTTAGTAAAAGTCCATTTCTGTAGATGATGTTTGTCAGGATAGATGATCCTCAGATATTTGTGAGTGAACTCAGAGTCGGTCAGAAACGCTGGAATGAGAGACTCTGAGAGGCTCTCCTGTAAGAATGAAACTAACAGAAAATGTGATATTTTACAAAAAGACTTAAACTGTCAAGAGTTTTTCAGACCACACTGTTAAACAGCTCGAGGACAGATAATCAAAGACTGTTTTATCCACAGGGGGGCGCCACACTGACACAAACAGGAGTTATAATAAATGAATGGATGAATGAATGAATGGATTTTTAATCTCACATGAAGATGAATTACTGCTGAACTTCACACTCACAGTTTGGTCAATTATCACACAAATATTTATGATTAAAGTCGTGATAATTATCATCACACAACTGACCAACAGGACAAATCACACAAACATGCCTCTGTAAGGTCTCAGAGGGAGACATGAAGCTCTGAGTGTCCTCACCACCACAGAGAGTGTGTGTGTGTGTGTCGGTAACTGTGTGTGTGTTGAGTGTGTGCTGATAACTGTGTGTATCTGCAGGACGGCAGCGGTGCTCTACAGCGCAGCGGCTCTCTGGGTAAACTGCGTGACGTGCTGCGGCGAAGCAGCGAGCTGCTGGTGAAGAAACTTCAGGGGAACGGACCTCCTGAACCACGGAGCACCAAGTAAGAGAGAATATGATAGGTCCTCATATCGACCAATCATAGAGACGGATCACAGTCACTGACTGTTGGAGGTCATTAAAGAGACAGATAACAGTAAATAACTGTTTTTAATCACTACAAAGAAACGGGTAACAGTTACTATTATAGTTTATTAAACAACGACAGATAAAAGTAAATAACTGTTTTTCTCTCTGAGCTTATTTTACTTTTTTACAGACCTGGATGTAAATCAAACCTTTTTAGCCTCATAAATGATTCTGTTTTTTATTTGACCTCAGGTAACCTCTGAAGTGTTTTTGTGTTTTTTTCTGCAGCATGAAACGAGCCGCGTCGCTGAATTATCTGAACAAAACCAGTGATGACCAGTTCCAGGTGAGGGAAACTTCAGATTCAGAAAACTGTCCTTGTGTTTGATAATAAGATAATTATTGATCAATAATAATAATGATGATAATGATAGCAATGTCCAGTTTGAACAGCTGTGCTCCTCTTGTATTTGGATTGTTTTATTGGGATCCTTGGAACAGAAACAGCTTCAGTTTCAGGACTCGGTTCCTCCGTCTGTCTTCACACACGTCTTCTCTGGATTCTTGGACACTCTCAGGACTCTGTTTGTGTTTCTGTGTTTCAGACTCGAGGAGGAAACTTCAGGGAGACTCGCGGTCTGAGCTCCAGCACCGTAGATCTCTACACCGGGAACTGAACCGCGTCACGTTTAGATCTGCTCACTCTCTGAGCCTCATCCATGACCAACGACACTACCAGACCCCGACAGCCCCCCTGAACCCTCTCTACCAGACTCTTTTAGTCTCCAAACACTCAGAGAAAAACCTGCAGAGTCTCTTCAGGTGTGTTTTCACAGTCAGGGTGTTTTTTTCTGGACCTTGGTGCCTCTTTGAAAACCTCGGTCCTCCTCCTCCAGAATCTCTGATCTCTGCACTTTGCCATGATTTCACTCAGTCTCTGTTTTTGTGCCATTCTTGGTTCATTCGTGTAAATGTGATTTTTCTCTGCTGGGTCTGATCGATCGATGTCGACTCTGTTTTTATTTCGTTTTAAAGCCTGTTGAGATTTTTGCGCGGTGTTGGTTTAAGCTTTGGGAGACGGGGCGAACGATGTATCCTGCTGAGGTCATGTGACCTGATTAGGTAGTGGATGTTAGTTAAAGTTAAAGCTGCTTTTATGGACCCGGTTCCTCCTGAATGATCTCTGGTGCCATGTTGGACTCGTCCTGATATCTGCTGAGTGATGAAGATCGATTTTGCACATTTCTCTGATTCTCTTTGATTCGTTTTTATTTTCAAAAAAAAGAAAAAAACTGGAAAATTTTGTGACTTGATTTTGTTTTTTTTTCTTGTTTCCTCTGTCAGAATTTTTTCAAAATAAAAGCATCGAATCATTAAACTTATCAGGAGGAATAAAAGTGAGCGCTCCTTATTTCTGCTGAAGAACCCTGTGACCCGACCCAGAAATAAAACCCAGTTTTACATCCAGAACTCCCTGATCCCAGTGAGTGTGTGTGTGATACGAGGGTCCACCAAAGGCCAAAAAAGAACCAGAACCAAGATCAGGACCAGAATACTAAATTCAGTGGACGTGTTTCCACAAATATTTAGTATTAGGAAGTTCAAGTCCATTTTTCTGGTACCAGAACCCAGAAGAGGACGAGCGTCTCTGGTCAGTCATTTTTTTGGGGATGGTTCTGGTTCTGCTTGGTGTACACTTAAATCTGGATCAGAACGTGTCCCCACAGTAACAGCGCCGAGGAGCCTGGTGTCCAGAACAGGATTTTGACGGTCGATTCATTATTGGATGGTAGTTCTGGTTCTGAGGGGAGGAGCTGCTGCAGAACCGGGTTCAGTTCAGAACATGAGACGATGATCACTTCATTTCCAAGAAACTAAATCAGACGATTCGAGTTTAAGGAGGTTTAAACATTTTTTAATTGATGATTTTATGATGAAGTTCAAACCCAAACCTGTGAACAACGGTACCGAGAGGAACCATGACAATCAGATCATCTTAAAGTCTGAATTAATCCGGTAAACTGAGATTAAAATGGAGACCTGAACCAGAACCAGAACCAGAACCCTAATAGGTCTGCTCTGGGATTAATCAAGAATAACTCTGATTATTATTAAAACTATTAAAACTTCTGATTAAAAATTTTCTTATTTTCGGAGTTCCTTCTGTTATTATTTCATATCTGGATAAAAAACATTAAATTCAGACAAAGATAACCTCCTTCAAAATAAAACCCCAGTCTTTCTCTCAATGACTCTGAATGGACGGAGCAGTGACCCGCTGTATCCAGAGGGGGGCGCTGTTGTCTTCGGTATTTTTGGTCAGGTAGGCGGACCGGAAGCTCCACTGTTGGAAAAAATGGGGAATGAAGTCAAGAGTAGGGAATTAACAACCAAAACACCGGAAATGAGCTGTTAGACTTTCAAAATAAACTTATATTTAGAGCTTTTTGTCCATGAAGTCAAAATACATCAAAACATGAAAGTTTTCATGTTTTTAAAATATATAAATGTATCTCAGAGTCTCTGTTTAATTTTTTTTTAATAATTAAAGTTTTTATTGATTATTGTCTGTAACTCACAGACTCAGGGTCTGTGCTCAGATTATAGTCAGGGTTCTCAGATTTACTTCAAAATTCACTCTCAGACATAAAAACATGGACAAAAAAAAAACACATTATGTGGACATTAATAACAACAACAACAACAATAATAATAATAATAATAATAAAACAGAGCCTCTAAGTGTGAATCATAAAAAGAACATATTGTGTTTTAAACACGTGAACCTGAACGTTAAATTTCTTTGGAGACACATAAATTTTTCTTTATTGTAAAACCTCTATATTTCAGGAATAATCTATAATTTATGATCCACAATCTATAATTTATTATCCATAATCTATAGTCCATAATCCATCTGTCTTTCTCTGGAGATCATCTTTATTAATCTGGTTTCATGTCCAGATCTGAAGTTTTGCTCTAAAATCAGGTCAAGGCTTTAAAACTGTAAAACTCCCTGTAAGCTTTATTTTGAAGGTCTTAACCGGATCTGACGTGTACGTTCCGCGCTGTTTGACGCTCACTCAGGATCCACTCCGGCGGTGGGAGGAAGCCCTAACTCTGGAACAGCGCGGACACGGACTCGGTGTTCACGGACAGAAGTGGCCGGAGCTCGGTGATCCGGACCCCGCGGAGCGCGGACACTCACCCCGGGCTGTGATGACCCTCTGTCGGCTGGAAACTCACCGAACCCCCGGACCCTGAACCCCCCGGAGGTCCAAACTCCGCTCCAAACTTTCCGCGCCGCTCCTCCGTCTGAACCCGGTCCGCGTTAGTCCGTCCGGCCTGAAAAACCGGAGCGGCTCCACATGTTCCTGCCCCCCCACAGCAGCCAGGTGAGCAGGCCCAGGTTTTCGCGGTGACCTGCGCAGGTACCGCGCCAGGGTCTACCTTTACGCACACGGTGACGCACGGATATCTGCCGCTCCCTTCGCGCCGCGCACGCGGCTCTGCCTCAGCCGCAGAAGATCCGAGAGAACCGGGGGGCCAGGAGGGCGGCGGGACGGTCATGGATGTACCCGGAGAGAGAGAGACCCTTCTGGGGGGAGGACAGACGACCCCCGCGGTGAGGAGGGTCGAGAGGAGACCGACGACGAGGAGGAGCGTGTTCGCTTTGGGACTGATCCTGATCCAAGGTAAGGAGGAGCTGCTGCTGTTCACCAACAAAGAGAGAGAGAGAGAGAGAGTTCATGTGTTCATGTTCATTCATTTACTGCCTCAAACTCACTGCAGATCCACGCAGATCCACTCACCTCCGTGTTTCTTTTTAAACCTTTTGTAGTGTTTTTGTTGTTCAGAGTTTTTGATCATTTCAAACAAAAATCTGTTTCTTCTCAGAGTTTGTGTTTTTTTTTCTGGGGGGTGAAGTTCCTCCTGGGGGGTGAAGTTCCTCCTGCTCTGCTCCTTTCAGGCTGAACTCTGCAGAGTTGAACTCCTGTTTGTGTGGGGGGTCCACTGGGGAAGTGGGGCACTCGTCCCCCTCCCCCACTCACCCACTTTTGGGGGAAAAACAACAAACGAAGCCTCTCTCTCTCTCTCTCTCTCTCTCTCTCTCTCTCTCTCTCTCTCTCTATTTCTCTCTCTCTCTTTCTCTCTCTCTCTCTCTCTTTCTCTCTCTTTCTCTCTCTCTCTGTCTCTGTCTCTCTCTCTGTCTCTGTCTCTCTGTCTCTCTCTCTCTCTCTCTCTCTCTCTCTCTCTCTATTTCTCTCTCTCTCTCTCTCTCTCTCTCTCTCTCTCTCTCTCTCTCTCTCTCTCTCTCTCTCTCTCTCTCTCTCTCTCTCTCTCTTTCTTTCTTTTCATGTGCTGAAAGAGTGAAAACAGAAACATCTCTTCACTTTGAGGTTCTTGTCTCTTCTTTTCATTTCTTCGTTCTCGTCCTCTCAGATAGCAGGAGTTCTCCTCTTCACCTCCTCCTATCTCCGTCTTTGTTCCTCCTCTCTGGATCCACAGTTTCTTTTCCTCCATCATGAATTCCTCCTTCCTCCCCTCTCCTCTCCTCTCCTGGTCATCCTCGTCTCCTTCTGTTCGTTTAAATCACTCGTTCACTCTGATATTCGAGTCTGTTGATGTTTGGAGTCTTCAGAGATGATCGATGATCTTTATCAAAGTGAATCAATAAATATCTGTTAGTCGTTCTGAATGTGAAGAAACCAAAGTGGGTCTTTTTGATGGTTCTGACTTCCAGCCTGCACACAGGACTGAAACAGTCGGTCAGAGATGAACATCTGACCGACTGTTTACCGTCATGAAAGACGAGAAAATTCAAAAATCCTGAAATTATTTCAAAGCTGAAACTAATGAAAATAACAATAATCAATCAGGTGATTGATCTGTTTATTACGCCTTTGTAACTCCGCCCTGTTATCGTGTTTACTGACTGTTTTTATTGATCAGTTAGTCTAAATATGGTCACAGTATAATTGTCTAAATACTGTGTTTGATCGGTGCTGACTCTGGGTTTTTATTTCCCTCTGGGATCAATAAAGTATCGATCAATCACTGATAATCACTGATAATCCAGAGCAGGTGTGTGGTCCGGTCCGGTCCGGTTCTGTGTTCTGGAGGATTATGGTGTCAAAGTAAAGAGAGAGAGTGACGGGGTTAGAGGTGAGGAAAAGGAGGAAGAGGAGAAGGCTGAAGAGAGGAGGCTGCTGACCTCCTCCTCTGATGGTTGGAGGACTCCTTCACTGGCCTCCTCCTCCTCCTCCTCCTCCTCAGTTCTCCTCCTCGGCGCAGCAGATCCTGATCCTGTCGTGGTGGTTCCTCCTGTCACAGCTCCGTCAGGTTGATCTGGTCTGTGGTGGTGAAGTTCTGATTGTGTTGTTCCTCAGCCGTCAGCGGACCTCCATCAGACATTCCTCTGAGTGACCCCCCCCCCTCCTGTGGATGAATGTGTCCTCTGTCTGCCTGAGAGTGTGTGTGTGTGTGTGTGTGTGTGTGTGTTTACAGAGCTGCTGCTGAGTAGAGCAGATCCAGGTACTTTCTCCTGACGGCCCCACGCTATTTTTAAAACGGTGCTCTGAGGGTGGGGGTGGTGGCGGTGAATGTTGGCGTTGTTTTGGAGGAGGGTCTGGTCTTCAGACTCTCTGAGCAGAAAGATGTTCAGAGTTTCTGTCTCCTGGTTTCTGTCTCCTCGCTGTGATAGAAGCAGGATCTCAGAGTGAAGCTGGACCTTCTCAGAAGGTCTGAGGAGGAAAACAGACGAGAGTCATGAAGGAACTGTTCTTCAGGAGAGGTTCCACAAACGTGGAGGTACTTCATCATGAGGTGTTGGTGTCTCTGCAGGTGGAGGTTAGAGGTCAGAGACGTGGTGATGGTTGGAGCTCGACTCCGTCTGGATCATCAGTTTGATTGTTTCTCTCTGATGGACCTGCTGATGGACCTTCTTTATTTCAATAAGAGGAGTCTTAAAAACACACTGTGCTTTTATTTTGAAAAGCTTTTGTGAAGATAAGTTCTGATCCGTTCTCCTCTGACTTCAGCTGATGGGGATCAACCACGGCCCTCAGCTGATCGTCTCCTGGTAACACGCACGCCAAAAATCCCGCCATCCAGAGCGTCGACTCATGAGTCGAGCTGAAGGTGAAGGTGGAGATCTTTCTTCTCCACCGGAGAACTCTGTCAGAGATGTTAGATCTCTTCAAGATTCACGACTCATTAGGTCCATCAGATCTCTGCAGGTTCTTCTCTTCACTCAGGTTCTTTAGAAACAAGCCTGAGGTCACCACCCAGAACTCTCCAGAACTTTCCTGAACCTTCAAACTTGAACCCGTCCTCCTGTTTTCAGCCGTGATGATCAAATTCAGATTTTAGTTTGTCATGTTTGTGACCTTCATCAGTCTGACCTTCATCACTCTGACCTTCATCGTTCTCAGCAGGAGGAGCTTCAGTCTTGAACCTCACTGATGTTTTAGTGACTCTGAGGAAACATCTCCTCTCTGTGGGTCTAAAACTTTAGGAGAACTTTCCCAGGCAGGTGTGAGGCCCTGCTGAGGAGAAGTTCTCTTCCTCCCTCCTCCTCCTCCTCCCTCTCCTCCTCTCTCCTCTCTCCTCTCTCTCCTCCTCCTCTCTCCTCCTCCTCCTCTCTCCTCCCTCCTCTCTCCTCTCTCCTCTCTCCTCCTCCTCCTCCTCCTCCTCTAAATCCCTGTTTTGTTCTCCTGTCAGACTCGGAGCAGCGCCTCATTCTCTCGTACAAACGTGCAGGAATTCCTCGTTTGGCTGCGGCCGTTAAAGGGGGGGGGGGGGGTGGTTACATAATCCCAGCAGCCGTTAACTCTTTGTGTTCCAGACTGAATGAACTCGTAACGGCGTCGGACCACAGGAGCAGTGACAGCACACAGATCTCAATCAGCCGAGGCTCCGCCTCCTCGCCAGCAGATTTAAACGAGCTGAAAGGAGCTGAAGGTTCATGAGCGGGACCGTCAGCCGGGTCTGATCTGCTGATGAGCGAGGGCAGACGGGCCTGCAGACGGCTCTGCAGACGGCTCTGCAGACGGACCTGCAGACGGCTCTGCAGACGGGCCTGCAGACGTAGACGTGTGTCACTCAGATCTGTATTTGAGTGACAGGTGGTCAGGCGGTCTGGTTCTGGTCTCTGCTCTAGCTCTTTACTCTTTGGACCTCCTGGTTCTGGTACCTGACAGATCCTTCAGAGCTGGACCGACTCTGGATGAGAAAGTGGGCGGAGTTTAACAGTTCAGGAGTTAGCTGCAGATCTTTGTGGACCTTTTGGGTCCGCTGAAGAAGTTCTAGTCTAGGGTCTAGAGTGAGTAGTCTGGATCAGGACCAGGTCTACATCCAGGACCTCCAGCCTGAGCTCAGATCCCGGTCTCTAAGGATCCTGGTCTGCAGACTTGGTAATAACAGAACCGTTTGGACCAGATCCTCTAATCCTCTAATCCACTCTTGTCTCCTCTGCCTCCTTGTTTCCTCCACTCTTGTCTCCTCTGCCTCCTTGTTTCCTATCCTGAATCCCTTTAAACCCCCCCTTGGTTCCAGCTGTCCTCTGTCTGAACCTGAACCCCCCCCCGGATCTGTTGGGTCGAGCCGACCTCAGATGGTTCTTAATCAGTTCTGACGGACCGGAGCGGTTTCAGATCTGAACCTCTTTGTTGGCTGTTTGGGAACCGAGGGGGGGGGGGGGGGGGGACTCGGTCCTGATTTACTCTCAGAGTTTATCATGAAGAACTCACTCTGACACACAAACACACACACACACACACACACACACACACACACACTCCTTGTTTCCTCCACTCTTGTCTCCTCTGCCTCCATGTTTCCTCCACTCTTGTCTCCTCTCCAAACAGACAGCACGCCGTCCGGACCCTCAGGGTCAGGGTCTAAACACAAAAGAGAACATGAAGCGGCGCTGAAATCTGCTGGGGGGGGAAACCACCTCAACAAAGTCAACGCCTACTTCCTGTCCCTCGGCTGGGGGGGTCAGGGATCATCATCGATGGTTCTTAATCAGTTCTGACTGTGCGTGAGCGGTTTCAAAGATCTGAACCTCTTTGTTGGCTGTTTGGGAACCGAGGGGTGTGTGTGTGTGTGTGTGTGTGTGTGTGTGTGTGTGTGAGGTATTCCCCGACTTTGTGAGAACATGTACTCGACATAATTTACAGTCCACATTACTCTGCTTCATGTCCGACCTCCAAAAACCAAAATACCTCCACACCACCGACGTTTTCCTAACGCCAGTGTTGTGGTTGACATTGATGTGGTCATCTGTTGAGCCTTCATGGTCATTTCTGTCGGGGGTAGCACTCATTTTCTTTGTTTCTCACCAACAGTGCTGTCGGCTTCACCTGTTAAAGTGCTATGGTTGGGTGGAGCTGCTGTCTGCTACGACGCTGCAGTTGGTTGATACTTGGTTCTAATTCAGAACATGATTGGTTCAGACCCGGAGACACTCCCCTTTTCATTGGCTGTTCGTATAGTCGACCAAAACATGTCAGAATGACGACTATTGAAAAGCATATTGATCATGTTTGATATTGATATTGAGGGAAATTAATTTTAGATATTCTTTCGTTATCGTTTTATCGCCCGGCCTTAATCAGAACAAAAACACCTGGATCCTCAGGTGTGTCTCTGAAAGTGCGTCTCCTGTTAGACCCCACCCCCCTCCTGAATGAGAAGCATGTGTCGGAGGACAAAGACGTGTCTGTCCCTCTGCGGTCCTGGACCGTCCGGCCCCAGACTCTGACCCTGGTCTCATGATCCTGATCAGATTTTCTCAGCTGACTCACACTGATGAGCTGCTTTACTTACTTTAGTGAAGAATCTCCTGTTAGAGTCACTTTATGAACTCATTATTATTACTCTCAGGTGTTCATTCACTTTATGAACACATTATTATTACTTTCAGGTGTTCATTCACTCTGGATTTCATGTTTTCACCCTCTGGAAACAGAATCTACAAAATCTTCGATCCGCCTGTTTTCTAACTGAGACTCCTGCAGCTTTGACTAATCCTGCTTACAACCACGCTGAGTCACACTTCATTCATTCATATTCATTCACTCATTCATTCATTCATTCATTCATAAGTGGCCTGCAGGGTCCTGCTCCACGTGGCTGAGGTCTGAGATGGTCCTGATAAAGGACGGTCTGTAATGAAAGTGAGAGCAGATGTTTCTAATTTGGTGAAAATAGTTTTTTCTTTTTTTGAAACGCAGACGGCGGTTCTGGCCGTACTGATGGTTCTGATGGTTCTGTCGGCGGTTCGTAAACAATGACCCATTTTCTGAGGACTATGAAAACCAGACCGAGTCCTCTGGACTGTAAATGAGATCTTTGTGTGTTTTTTGGGGGGTCCTGGACTCGGTTTATGGACCCTGTTCCTGGAGCAAAAAAAGAAACTCAGCATAAATAGTTTTCATGTGATTTTGCGCCTGCAGCAGATAATCTGATCAGAGCTTCATCTCCTCCACTTTAACCAGATTATCCTCCTCTCAGAGACAACAGGAGCGTCTTTGACTTCTCACCCCGCAGCAGCAGCTTCGATCAGCAGCTCTTTGTCTCAGACTCACTTTTCACTCCGAGCTGCTGTAAGTGAGCGAGTGAGCGAGCGAGTGAGCGAGTGAGCAGGTGTCTGCATGTCTCTGAGATAATCTCGGTTGACTGAGAGGTTGTAAAAGTGCAGCTCCATGTGTGTTTCCTTTGGCCTCCTTCCAACAGAGTGATGCTAATCCCAAAGAAAGTCAACAAGCACCTCCTCACAGCTCCGTCTCCTGCCTGCAGCAGAACTTTCATGTTTGTTTAGGATCTTTGGTGGAGCGAGAACGTTTGATATTTTAGGACGTCCGCATGTTCGAGGAGGTGTGTTTTTATTTTTATACAAGAGCTGCAGAGTTTTCAGCTCCGAGGCTGTGAGGGTTTTCTTTATTTAGGGGGTGACGGTTGTCAAGGGCAACCAGTCTACAACCAGCGCACAAACCATCGTCATACGAGAAATCCGACTCTCTATGACTCTCGTCCTGAAGTCGTCCTTCAGGTCGTTATCTTTGTAATGTTTGTGTTTTTATCAAAAATCACTCTGTTCTCCGACACGTAAACAATCAGCCGGTCGGCCATGTTGGATATACCGGTGAATCTGATTGGTCAGAAGTGGACACACAGTCTGAGAAACTTTTAAAAAATCGACCGTGATCCGAAAAAATAAATGCCGCAATATCGCAGGACGGGAAAACGTCGCTGATGTGAACGCTTGTATTGACAGGATACGGGTTCAAAAAAATACTGACGTCCGAAATAATCTCAGGAATAAAACGGTCCCAGTGTGAAACGACCTTAAAACTCAAGATAAGGAAACACTGGAGGTTTTAAATCTAAATCGAAAGTAACGATATGAAAATACAATATGAGTATGAAATTTGAGAAACAATCAATGATATGAAGTAAAAACAGTAAAAGAAACTAAAATAAGAACACCAAAATAAAAGACGATCCTGTCATTAAAACTAGAAAGAGACAAACTCTAAAACATTTAAAGTTAATGAGATAAAATTTAATAAAAAAAACTAAAAAGGTTTGTTTCCAGTTTGGTTTTAAAGTCCTTCAGATTAGCTTCAGTCCTCAGGTCTTGGATCCCAGAACTGATTGGATCTGTCAGAACATTCAGGGTCAAGTTCAGCTGCAGGATCACAGACTGGTATTTTGACCCTCCAGAGCCTCCGTAGTCGTAAGTCTGACCTCAATGTCAGAGGTTAGAGGTCAGGACCCAGAAACACTGAGACTTCTGTATGACTTGACCTCTGACCTTTTGAAGAGAGTCGATCTGCCTCTTACAGGCTCATTATGGGATTAACCTCGCGCTCTAATCTCACACAGGAAACGCCTCCTCGCCTCCACCGCCATGTTTTCGGTTTAAACACTTCTAATCTGGTTCATGATCACTTTAATGTGATCAACTGGACCGGGTCTGAGAACAGATACTGGACCGGGTCTGAGAACAGATCCTGGACCGGGTCTGAGAACAGATCCTTGACTGTTGGAGCCGCTCTCAGAGTCTGGGTCTCCTCCTCTCTGGACCAGATCGAAAACAGGAATAAGTTTAGCACAAGTTTAGTTCAACTCAGATTAAGCCTAAATTTTGCTTAGTTTAGCTTAGCTTAAGTTTGTTTCAGCTCAAGTTTGGCTAAGCTTAAATTAAGTTTAAATTAAGGTTGGTTTAAGTTAAGTTTAGGTATTTTTCTAGTTTAGTTTTTTCTCTAGTTTAGTTCAACTCAGATTAAGCCTAAATTTTGCTTTCATTTAGCTTAGCTTAAGTTTGTTTCAGCTCAAGTTTGGCTAAGCTTAAATTAAGTTTAAATAAAGGCTAGTTTAAGTTAAGTTTAGGTTTTTCTCTAGTTTAGTTTAGCTCAGATTAAGCCTAAATTTGTCTTTAGTCTAGTTTAGCTCGAGTTGATCTTAAATTAGTCTTGAGTTTATTTTATATGAATCAGTTAAATTCCTTTAAAGCTGATCTGTAATTTAAAGGTTTAGAGTTTCTTTAATTGATCATTAAATGTTTTGATTAGTTAGTCCTGAGAGCAGAGAACTTTTTTAACGTTCACAGATTTTAATTTTAAACAAACAGAAATATTTTCACCCCTAAAAATCTCAAGGTACTGACCCGATTCAACCACCCAAGTCCAAAAACAGAGTCCTCCAGAACCCAAAGCAGAATAATCCGTCAGAAAGGAAACGATGTGAAAAAAAAAAAACAGAGTAGAAAAATGTGGGAGACTGACCCGTCCACCTCCGACCCAGTTCTGACCCGTCCACCTCAGACGGATCCACAGAGGCGTCTTTGGTTTCCTCACTTTGGATCAGAACCAGCCAAAGCTCCCCTCCAAATATCTCCCTCCTCCTGATCCTCTATTGTTCTCCTCCCCTCCCCCTCTTCACACCTCTGCTCACCTGGCTGCAGCTGCAGGTCACATGACCAGGCTGACTGCAGCTTAACAGACCCCCCCCCCCATCAGAAACAGCAGAGCCGAGGTAGGGTGGGCTCAAGGATACCACCTTGTAAGGATTTGACACAGATAACCCCCTCCTTAAGTTAAGTTTAAGTTTGGTTTAGTTTTAGTTAAGCTGTGGTTTAGTTGGAGTTAAGTTTAAGTTTAGTTAGAGTTAAGTTTAAGTTT